AGAGAGAGAGAGAGAGAGAGAGAGAGAGAGAGAGAGAGAGGTTTGTAAGGAAGAGGAAGGTTGATGGCGTCGGTGGTACACAATGCCCGACAGTTGTTGGCTATGGCGCAAATGCAGGGCAATCGGAATTCTCTGCAGCTGTCGGGATCTGGGCAGGGAGTGCGGGGAGACACTATGATCCAGATAGGCGGGTACACGTCATCTGAAAGTGTTACGGTTTCGGCGAAGCGTGCAGGTTCTCAGTCTGCGGTTGGGTTGTCTCACCCCGAACTACGGACGCTGACCCTTTCATTGTCAAGCCTGCGATGGCCATTCGCGCCGGCGAACTTGGGGCGCTTGCCGATATACTCCTTCCCATCTCTTTCCCCGACCTTGGCATCCATGTCATCCTCCCTTTTCATGCCTGCTGCCGGGTTATCAGGGCTGTCAGGAGGGCTTTGCGGTAATAGGATTGCTGCAGGAGAAGCATCAGGAGCAGGAGCAGGAGCAGGAGGTGGAGGTGGAGGTGGAGCAGCAGGCATAAGCCGGCGGAGAGCAGGATTAGTAAGACGAGTCATCGGCGGCGGCGGCGGCGGCGGATCAGGTGGCGGAGGAGGAAGGGGAGGCGCAGCGGGGGGTATACGGCGGGAAGCGGGATTAGTACGACGAGTCAGCGGCGGCGGCGGCGGCAGCGGCGGCGGAGGAGGAGGCTTAAGTCAGGGAGCGGGAGTAGTACGACCTGTCAGCGCTGCTGGTGCCGATGACGGCGGCGGTGGCATAGGAGTAGGTGGAGCAGGAGGAGCAGGAGGAGGAGGAGGAGTGGTTTCCTTGAGCTATAGCACTAATAGTAGGGATAAGGTTTTGGCGGCCATTTTCTATGGCTTGATTTCCATGTCCATCACCTTATTTAATCGCGCTGTTTTCGCCGTGTATCGTTTTAACTTCCCCTTGACCGTGAGCACGATCCAAATTCTTGTCTCGCTTTTTTTTATTTTCTGTCTGCAATCGTTAAACGTGATTGAGAAGACCGAGATCCGCGTAAGTACGATGAAAAAGATCTTCCCGCTCACTCTCTGCTGGTGGCTTTATGTTGTCAGCGGCGTCACTGCTCTTCGCTATCTTAATGTGCCTATGTATAGTGTGTTGCGTCGATCGACGACACTTGTCGTTATGCTAGGCGAGTTGATCATGTTCGGGAAGAGACCAACTCGCGCCTCTGCCTTGTCGATTGTCACTATCACAGCTGGCGCTGCCATCGCTGGCGTAACCGATTTGACATTCAATCTGAAAGGGTACTTGTGTGTTCTGGTCTGCGTGATTAGTACAGCCGCGTACCTTATGATGATTAGGATATGTAAGGATAAGGCTGGTCTATCAGATATGGGAATGTTGTGTTATAACAATTGCCTCTCGCTTCCAATCATGCTCTTGTGTTTGCACTTGTCGGGAGAGAAGGCGGGAGTTTTGGCGTTTGCAAGGCTCCTGGAGCCGAGATTTTTGGCGTTTCTGTTGTTTTCGTCGTCGCAGGCGTTTCTGCTCAACCTTGCAATATTCCACTGCACAACAGTCAACTCGCCGCTGACGACAAGTGTGACAGGACAGGTGAAGGACATAGCGACCACGGTTTTAGGGTTTTTCCTGTTCGGGGATGTGATTCCTGGGAAGATGAATACGCTAGGAGTGCTCATCGGGCTCGTTGGAGGGCTTTGGTACTCTGCTGCGATGTACTTGCAGCGCTTCAGGAATGCTAGCAAGGTAGA